TGACAAACTTGCGAAACTTTCGACAAGCTTATTTTTTTCGGAAATTGAATCGGTACTTTTAATCAAATTGTAAACCACTCAGCAAACGTAAGTTTTCCATGAAGAATAAATAAAAATTGTATTGCATATGTACCTTGCACCCGCTCGACGTCCGTAAAATTCGTCGACTCGCGGCTTGGGTCCTACTGAGTCCGCCGCCTCTGAATATTTCCGGTATCTTCTGCACGGTCGTACATGGAGCGCTTGTCGCGAGTTTAATGCGGTTCTTAATCCAACTCAACGCTCTTCGCAATGGTCAATGTGGATAAATGAACGCAAAACATGTTGCTTCATATAGTATAGTATCGTATCTTCGGCGTTGAAGAATAGGCCTGGATAGGCTTGTTGCCGATTCTTGTACTTTTCGTGGCTCGTTCGCAGATCTAAAAACCGGCCTTTTGATCAGATATTTTCAACGGACGGTGCGTTGAAATAGTTTCTAGACTTTGTTGTTCCGTAGGGCACTAGGCATTTCAAAACTAAACATATGCTCTCGCGTGACATTGTCTAGTCTGTTCTTGAACGCGTTCATACTCGGAGCATCAACAATATAATCAGAGAGGCTGCTCCACATGTCGGTGGCTCTAAGCGAGAAAAAGTGTTGTCGCGGGATTAGTTGCAGCGCAGTTTTTAGCGCATTTTCTCATTTATGGAAAAAGAAAAATGCTCTATTGTGCTCGTCATGTCCGTCTGTCTGTCCGTCCGTCCGTCCGTCTGTCCTTCATGTTTTCGTCGACGAGAAGATGTGCTCTCTGTCACTCACTGCAGTGAGTACTGAGTTATATTTTTTAGTTTATAGCCGTGGCCCCTGGTGTTGGTTCTTGTTTCAAATTCTAGTAATCCTTCGGGGACCTTGTAGAAACCATGATTATACTTGTATACTTCAATGAGGTCACCACGCAGACGTCGATAACAGAGGCTTGGAAGTTTCATAATCTCTAATCTTTTTTCATAGGGCTTTCCCTTTAAGCCTAGAGTTATCCTTGTTGCACGTCTTTGAACACTCTCTACTAAATTTTTGTTATTTTCTAATTTTGGTGAGCACGCGGCGTTTCCAAACTCTAGATTCGAGCGCACAACAGCGTATATTTACCTTGTATAGATGATTTATCGTATATACCGTCTTGTGATTATGTTCATTTGAATGTTTTTCAGAAGTATCGATGCTTACAATGATATGTTTTTGTGTTAATTGTAAATTTGATTGTGCTCATTTTCACGTATTTTTTTATCACCTTAGCATCATGGACGCGAGAAATTTATACAGGATGGAAAGCAACGAAATTTCAGATACAGATACTGAGATGGATTCTTTAAGCAATAGCTGAACTGATGAATCAGAACCGGAGTTTGTCCCAACTGGGCCCAGTTCTAACAGCGTTACTGCTTTTAGAACCACCATATGAAGAAGAACCTCCAGAAGATTAATCTGAGAATGCAGATAATGCACTGCATGAAGATCCAGTGGTAAAGAAGGTAAGAATGAACAGGTAAAGAAGAACATCGACAAAAACCACGCTCAACAGGTCCAGAAAACACAGTAACGCCATTTCATACTTATATTCACTTTGTACCGGTAGAAACTGTTACGGAAATAGTAACAGAAACAAACAAATATGTTGATCAAGTTTTGCAGAACACGATGATTACAAGAAGATCGCAACTAAAATGCTAGACTCCCACAAATGCTCATGAAATAACGAAATTTTTGGGGAATTTTTTCAACGAAAGTACGTTAATTTAGGAAATTTTTAGCCTTGTCATATATGGTCTATGGGAAATGTCGCAACCCTAGTGTCTTATCTGGTCAAACTTTTCAACCGCTGTCTCACCGACAGTGTTGTTGTGATTAACTTTAAATCAGCTTACATTATGCCGCTAATGAAAAATACTTTGAAGGATCTGATCCTAAATCTTATAGACCCATCTCCAGCCAGTCGATTTTGTCGAAACCCCTGGCACGAGATGTGGTCCGACAACTGAACAACCATCTTCAGCAGTCCGGTCGCATGCCTCGCCTATAGTCTGCATACCGTCATCTCCACTCGACGGAAACCGCTGTGCTGAAGGTGCTTTCAGACATTCTGCGAGCAGTAGACCGTGGCGACATTGCGGCACTAGATTAACTCGACCAGTCGGCCGCTGTTGGCACGGTCGACCAAGCCACTTTAATACGTCGACTTGACGTATCATTCGGCCTACGAGGCATTGTGCTGCGTTAGTTCGAGTCCTATCTAAGCAATAGATTCGAATGCGTTCGACATGGGAAGTCTTCTTGTGTGCAATCGTTGATCACTTGGGGCTACCCCAGGGATCAGTTCTCGGCTCGATCCTCATTCTGTTATATATATCTGTAGTTATATACTGCCGACATATTTCACATAATTGATACACATAGTTTTAATCCGCATATCTTCGCTGACGACACCCAAATTTGTGGAGCCTGTGCACCGGCGGACGCCGCAGCGTAGCAAGACCGGATGTCTGCCCGCATGCATGGACGCCGTCTCAGACTGGATGCGCTTCAACCGACTCTAACTCAATGCGTCGAAAACGAACTTTATTTGGTTTGCGACTGCTCGGCGCCAACATCAGCTTCCGGCCAACCTTATTCGCGTGGGCAACGAGTTCGTCATGCCTGTGCCTCCGGTTCTCTACCTCGGCATTCTGCAGGACGCAGAATTTTTCATGAACAATCACATAGCCAAAGTCACCACCGCTTGGTTTGGCGCTCTGTGATGAATACTTAGCGGCAGCCGCTGTCTCTCGAAGCCCTCGTGGTGGCGCCAGAAAATAATTTATTTCACCATCAGAAATTATTCTAGATTGTCTTGATCATTTTGGAAAGTACATAAATATCATCTATGATATAACGCATGAACGACACTTACATGGAAAGATTTCAATTTTGAGTTATATTTTCTGGTAGTATCTTGCTCGTTGCGTGGGACGATTGATTAATCGAGCTGTGGCAGTTGGTGCACTTCAACACAAGCAAGATGAGATATTTTATAGGAGCTTGTACCCCCTGCCGGATCGGATCAATGTGGTAACTTGAAAGTGAAATATATAAGGCATTCACTGTAATTACATTCAGCAAAGTCTGAAGTTATTAATAAATAAAAATTATGTTTAGCCGAGTCTAAAGTTAATAATAAATAAAAATTGCATATAGCCGAAACTAATGTTGAAGTTAATAATTTAATACTGCATTTTCTACGATCGCTACAACTCTTCTTTGGATTGCTAATGGTTTTCAACTTGATTAATGATGGTGGTTGATGAATGATGCTAGTCATTGACATTCTTAATAAGATTCTTATCCATTGACATGCTGCATAATGAACCTTGAGTCCATAATGTTTCGATAATGACATGCGCCATCATTACTTTTAGTTGACACGTGTGTCATCGAACTATCTTGGCCCCTGCACACTATTGTCTTGCTATCTAATAGATTAATGGTTTTGCAGATAATATATTTTGTTGTGTTTATTTTAGCAGCATGCATGAGTCACGCGTTGCAGCTGAAGCTTTAAGGTCAAAGTAATCATTAAAAGCTCAATGACTACATATCGGTACAACTTACAGAAAATTTTTGTCTTCGATTTCGAACCTCATCTCGAAAGCAGGGAATTCATTGCCATGGACTTACTATAAATAATTTTTGCCTGTATTTCTTGACATGAATGAGGATTTCTTCAACTTATGACGTTTTTTTCTTGTGCATAGCATCGTCTGTGTCATGCCGACGTGCCAAACAAGAATTTGAAAAAAATACTTTAAAATTCTGCAGGTTAAACTTTTACGTTGGTCCCTGGACTTTGTAGATCATACAATACAATAACAAGGCTTTGTAAAAGAACGAGTAATCAATAAAATCAGAGTAATCAATATCAGGTTTATTTAATTATAAACCATTGTCTTTAAATGCAATTTACATTATAGTGGAATACCCGCCGAGGTAAACACGAGTATTATAGCGGAGTCAGGAGCTGGTTTCGGTCAGAGCCGCCGCGCTCAATCACCACCTATCGTCCGGTAATATCGTTTATCGTTGTCAATAAAAAAAATCACTTTTCACCAGATTCATAGATTCTGCACACATACAGCGAATATTTATATACCCACCGGTATATACAGACGCTTTCATCACAATAGCTCGTTCTCAGAAAATTAGAAGTGAACAAACTCAATTCAATAGGAAACAAGATTAACCTCACATATCTATTGGTGACACGGGAAAATATGACTACTGTAGCTTTAATATTCAATCGTACGATTTTTGCACTGAAAGTCTCCATCTGTACCGAGTTGACCTCTACAGAACGTTTTTGCTCAATGTTTTCAATTAGCTAGTGAACCATTCTCTCTGTCAACATCCGCTATGAAGCCCTGCTGTCAATTATTCATATGAACATATTACATATAATGGCCATATGGCATTGGTTCACTCGTAAGTGTTTCCAAGACTCCTCAAAAATTATGAGCTGTCAGAGGTATGCACGAAAAGTTGTTATTGAAGTATTTTAGCAGCTGAGCTACATATGCTTCAGAAGCTCCTCTATCTAATGTCATGTATTAGCTAATCTTAGCTTTCACTTTGTCATCTGATGTTAGCATGATTGTCTCTACAATCAATGCTACTAATTCCGCCACAACACTTATATCGCCGGCCTTCAAAAGAAACAGATTGAGACGCCATGGAGAGTAGACATGCTGTGTTGTCGCTCAATGAGCCTGACCGATTTGCTTCCTGCGTTGAATTGCTTCTGGAACTTTATTACCGTCGGGCGGCTGTGCTGCACTTCCGGAACTTCACTACCGTCGGACGGTTGTGATGTGCAGGCTTGTTTCCGGTGATTTATTGTTTCCGGTGATTTATTGCTTTGAGAGACCCCAGCTAAATTTCAGTGAAGGAACCCGGAAATCGTTGAACAATTAAGAAATAAGAGATTTCGATGGCGTGGAAGAAAGTAAATAAGATTGTAAAGAAGGAATGCAGTTCTTCGAAACAAGATGCACCGAAAAAATCGAACAGGAGATCGAAGTGCGTAGTTGAAGATACTTGCAAGTTCTGCAAAGAGACCTCGTTGAGAGAAGATGATCAAATGGTCATCTGTGAACACTGCGAGGATTTTATTTGCATCAGCTGTGCGAAGCTGAGCTCTGAAGAGTATTGTTTTTTTGTAGAAAACAGAGCCGTTTCACTGGTTCTGTAGTGACTGCGTGAAACCGGCTCCTAGTGCCCGGAAAAGCGAGAAGCAGATGGAAGAGAAGTGGTTCGCTCTGTTTGCAGCATTTCGAGCAGAAATAGAGAACAATTATCGGAAAGAGATGAGCACGTTGAGTAATTTAGTTGGCTCTTTGAGTAATGAACTGAGCTCGTTCCGCAAAGAGTAGATCGAAGAGAGAGCCTAACGGAAAAATACAGAAAATTTGGAAAAGATGGAATTGAAGAATCACAATGTAGTCATAGCCGTAGTCGCTAGCGAAAGCTCACGCGAATTACTAGACTGAGAACGTAGAAAATGCAACCTTGTATGGTTCGGCATTCCCGAAAGCAAAGCATCTGAGACGAACGAACGAGTGATGGCCGACAATAATTATGTGGCAGACTGTTGTATAAAAGCACTAAGCTCACCGGTTGATATTGCATCGTGCAAGAGGCTGCGCTCCAAGAATGCTGATAACACCTGCAGACCTCTATTGGTGACTGTGAAGGATCCGGGCCAGGTTTGGAGCGTGCTGAAAGCAGCGAAAAAATTAGGAGAAACCGTTGAATTCAAGTCTAGTTTTGTGAAGAAGGATTCCATCCCTTTAGAGAGGGCGGATTTCCGCAAGAAGTGGCAGGAGCGAAACAGATCCAGAAGCACAGAAAATCAGGTCACCAACATTCAAGATCTCACGAGGACTCCTACCGCTCGCCGACAGTCAGGGGAGATGGAAGACAATTAAATAGGGAAATCATGTACATAAATCTAGTTCTGTAAATAAGGTAAAAAGTTTACTCATACAACAAAATGGAAGTGCACAAAAGTTTTGAAATGTTTCTACACGAACTCTGATTCCGTTTTGAATAAAAGAAACGAACTGCTAACTGTGATCGCAAACGAGTGTATTGACATTATTTGTATTACAGAGACACTTCCTAAAAATCACGGGGGGAAAATTGCACCAGTTGAATTTTAGCTGCTAGGTTTTGATTGCTTTCATAACTTAAACGAAGGGCAGTGCAGTAGAGGTGTAGCTTTGTGGGTTAGAACCTTTTATGGGGCCCAACAAATTAAGTTATCAGCAGAGCACCAATCCGCTAGAGAATCAGTGTGGTGTGAGCTTTCTCTAAAACGCAGGGATAGCCTCCTAATAGGTGTCCTGTATAGATCACCCAACAGTTCCTCTGAAAACGATAAAATACTGAACAGTCTTCTACCGAGCATGACTTTCAGCAGGTCGCATACGTTGATAGTTGGTGACTTTAACCATCCAGAAATAGACTGGACAGATCAATCCTCTCCAAGGGATGAGAATCACCCTTCATCCTTGTTCATGGAGTCTGTGAGAGACTCATTTTAATACCAGTACATCACAAAGCCAACCCATTTTAGAGGAAATCAAACTCCAAATACTCTAAACCTAGTGTTCAATAGTGAAGAATCAATGGTAGAAGAGCTTCGCCACGAGGCTCCATTGGGCAAAAGTCTCCACCAGTCATTGTTTTTCAGTATTAAGTGCTATACAGAAAAGACGCCTCGGAAGCGTGAACGTTTCAACTTTGCGAAAGGCGACTATGTTAAACTTCGTGAATCAGTGAGTGCAGCGAATATTTCGGACTGTATTATGAACATGAATGTGGCGGAGTCGTGGTCATTCATCAAGAACATTTTTATGTCTGCAGTTAATACATGTGTACCTAAGATTAAGCTCGGTGGAATCAGAAAAACACAGTGGATGAACAATACGGTTAAAGCAAAGCTATATGCAAAGAAAGAAGACTACACGCGCTATATACGGACTCGTGGCGATATTGAGTATAACCTGTACGCAAGAGCTCGAAATCAAGCTGAAAAAGCTTGTCGAACCGCGGTCAAAAACTTTGAAAAAGATGTTGCCAAAAACTCAAAAAATGACCCGAAAGCCTTCTTTTTGTATGCTAATCCGAAGTGTAAGACAAGGGACGGTATTGCTGATTTTAATGTAAATCAACGAAAGACATCTTCGGATGAGGGCAAGGCCAATGTTCTAAATCAGTTCTTTAGCAGCGTCTTCACAGTTGAGGACTTGAACAGTATTCCAGCTATTGAGGAGCGACCAGTGGGCTCGAAGTTAATTAGTTTTGAGATACATGAAGAGGAGGTTCTCAAGCGTCTCCCTGAATCCCAACAAGTCATCTGGATCAGACGGTTTCCACCCGAGATTACTCAACGAATTAGCAACCGTCCTGGCCGGCCCTTCAACAGTATTCTTTCGAAAAACCTTAATCGAAGGGACTTTGCCGGCCGACTGGAAGGAAGCCTAAGTGACACCTCTGTTCAAAAAAGGTGTTAGAAGTAACCCCGGTAACTACTGTCCTGTCAGTCTCACAAGTTTTTTGTGTAAGGTGATGGAATCGATTGTGAGGGATAGGATTATCGACCACTTGACTGTTAACCATCTTCTATCAGACTGTCAGCATGGCTTTATTGCTGGACGAAAGGGTGCCACTGGATGCAGTGTACCTCGATTTTGCCAAAGCATATGATAGTGTTCCGCATGAGCGACTGTTACGTAAAGTGAATTCCTTGGGAATAGAGGGAAATGTACTCCAGTGGATCAGGAATTTCCTAGTAGGCAAAAGACAACGTGACAGCATTAACGGAACCGTATCAGACTAGGCAACTGTGCACAGTGGCGTACCGCAAGGAATCGTTCTTGGGCATGTTATTTTTGTCGCCTTTATAAACGATCTACCTGAAGTAGTGTCAAGCCTGTGCTCCATGTATGCCGATGACACAAATGTTTATAATACAGTTAAGGATGCGTCAAATAAAATGCAACTGCAAAATGATCTTGATAGTTTAGCTGACTGGGCTGATGCGTGGCAGCTGCGTTTCAATGCTGTCAAGTGTAAAGTGCTTCACCTCGACAAGAACAATGAACAGCAAGATTACAGCATGAGAAGACATGGTTGCAACGAGAGGGTTATGAGTGAGAAGTCTTGCGTGGAAAAAGATCTTGGAGTTTGTGTCGACAAGGAGTTAAAATTTTCTAGGCATACTGAAACGCAAATTAATAAATGCAATAAACTGCTTGGGCTGATCAGACGCTCCTACGAGTACCTAGATGTAGAAATAATGAAGCTGTTGTTCACCTCTGTCGTGCGCCCGAACCTAGAGTTTAGAAACGTTGTGTGGTCACCGAGACTTGAAAAGGACGAAAAATCTAGTAGAGAGTGTTCAAAGACGTGCAACAAGGATAATTCCTGGCTTAAAGGGCAAGTCTTATGAAGAAAGATTGAAGATTACGAAGCTTTCCAGTCTCAGTTATCGTCGCGTGCGTGGTGACCTCGTTGAAGTTTACAAGCATACTCATGGTTGGTACAAGGTCCCAGAAGGTTTACTAGAATTTGAAACAAGAACCAACACCAGGGGCCACAGTTATAAACTAAAAAAACTGCGGTGCAACTCATCCATGCGACAACGCTTCTCGCTTCGAGTCACCGACATGTGGAACAGCCTACCAGAATCTATTGTTGACGCTCCGAGTATGAACGCGTTCAAGAACAGACTAGACAAGGCCATGCAGGAGCAAATGTTTAGTCTTGAAATGCCTCTTATCCTACGGAACAACTGAAATCTAGAAGCGATTTTAAACCTACCATCCGTTGAAAAGATTTGATTAAAAGGCCAGCCTAGTCAAGAAAAGAACAAGAATTGGCGACAAGCCTATCCAGGCCTATTCTTCAATGCCGAAGATACTATACCATACTATCATTTTGAGTAATACTGTAATTTAATTTCCTTACGTGTACTGCTCACGGACGATCCAACTCTGAACTCGGCACACTGGGCGAACTGAGTGTAAATTTCTGCGGCAGCGTCTGGCAGGATAGTGACGTGGCCGAGGGTGCACGAGAATAGTGAGGTATGAACTGCACAAATAATTGTGCATGGATTTTATCAGTTTCGTGTAGGCATAAATTTTAATTTAAAATCTCTCGATTTCGCAAAAGTTACAGCAAAAATTTCTCATCTTCAATGCAGACAGCCGTTTATTTTTCACTAATAGATAAACCGTTCGCTGCCGACGGGAACATTTTTTCTTGCAATATTTTTACTGCTACTATTTCCTTCTCATACCAGAGCAGAAAGCGAACTCGTTGTTTTATTCACCAGCCTGTAGGCTACAGCATCCTTCTATGTACTTTTTCTCATTTTGCACACAATACCGAAATTAGATTCAGTCAGCCTCTTTCTTCTCTCTTCGTGCCCTAACAGGGAATTGCTTTGTTCAACGGTTGAGGATTCGAGGATTTTAATTTGATTATCATCCAAAGAAGACGTCTTCGAAAGGCTCAATTTTACGTCTTTCGCGACAGAAGCAAAGCCATTGCTTTCGTAGCCGTAACTGCGACGGATTTTCTTTCTATTTAATTTATGCCCATGTTCGCTGAAAAGCCGCTTTCTAGCAGTTGCATTTTACTTCACTCTATTTAGTATTTTACTATAGCCGGGACCGAGAGTTCCAGCTATAACCGAGTTCCGAGAACCGAGAGTTCCGGCTCGGTTTCTCGAGAAACCGAGTTTGGCGGTTTCTCGAGATGTATAGACTTCTTAGAAATATTCCTGATAAATCCTTGAAATGTGATTTCGACATTCAATTTTTTTAATCTCATTAGGAGCATAGGGCATGACTGTCAACAGTTTTGTATACACGCTCATGTCACCGTCACCAACAAAGCGAGAGTACTTCAAGCCATGTGTTTTAATACTCCTTTAGAAGCCTTCAACGAGGATGTCCGCCTCCATTGCTGATGGACTCTCAGCCCAATTTTGACAGCTGGGATGATCTTTTGGAGCTTTCTTGTTGCGTTTTGCGTACGCGCAGACCGAGCAAAATCGATTTCATACGCCCATAAATTTCACTTTTCGCGTTCTGTAGCCAAAGAGGAATAAGAAAGAAAGAGAAAGAAAGTTCTGTAGAAAGAGGAATAATTGTGACCATACGATCGTTTTGACCAGGCTACGTCAGCAGTTACCAAAATTTCCGGAATTTCATTTGCATCAATTCTGTTTTCTTGAATGGTCAGTTCTTTTTCTTCTTCAACGGCCATTTTCATGTTATCCATTGCAGTTTCCGCCTATAGCTTACTATAGGAGTTGAGTAAACATCCATAACATTTAAACAGATAATAACATTGGAGTTGAGCAAAGATCCATAACATATAAACATATAATAACAGGAGTTGAGCAAATATCGCTACAAATAATTTAACAATGATACTGCGTACCATGATACTTTGTATCATTGTTGGTTATAGCTCATGTTATTTGCTTCTAAAATTAATCATTTATATTAGCCTTTTTATTATCATATAAATCAGCATTTTTACAATCATGGTATTATGAATTTAAATCAAATATTCAGTGTGACAGTAATTAAGTGGGCCTAGTCTGATATTAATATGATATATTATTAAGAGATGTTTAATGCATTATTGCGGTCTACTTTTTATCCTTGAAAAAATTTCTACAGGAATAGAATGACATGAAATTAACTACATATCTTAAACGTATATAATAAATTTCTGGCATGGAAAATTACCACATCGACTGAAATACTTTAATGATTACATAGAATCCTGAACGTATAGAATTTAATATAGAATAAATAATTAATATATTTAATACTCTAGCTCATTCAATTCAAAGATGAGCATTAAAATCATCGTTCATGTGGTGGCAAATGGAAAACTGTATCCTAAATTGGGTTGTTTTTGCATTCATCCTTCTCATATCTTAAAACATAATTACGATTATCTCATCTTAATCATCCCAACGAATTACGCGCATGTACGACCAGTTCGTTTACGACCATGACGCTCATATACCAGACCGCGAAATGGGCAGGGAAAGAAGAGTGTTTACCTTGAACAGATTTATTGCGTGCGCCTGCAGGAAAGTATGACATCCAGGGGGTAAAGTCTTGCTTTAATCTACGGAAGTTTTACCTAACATTTGGGCTTTGAGTGGTTATATCTAATACTAGAAGAATAATGCAGAAATGTTTGGTGTAGCGATCAATGAAGGATAAATAGTTAAACTTGCGTACTTCAAGAAAATGGTTGAAAAGTCGCACGCTTTACGAAAATCGGGGTGCAAAACTTTATCCTTCCGGATAATAGTTGAAAGAAAAAGTTTGTATAATTTAATTCATAATTATAGTTAAGAATCTCCATAGACAACTATCGCGGCTGAGCGCCTCGATGCATAGTCTTAATTTCAATATAACTGAAATAATCTAACTGGTACAAGTAAGTCAATAAATTGGCCAACTGCAGCTGCTTGATAATTTTTTTTCGTTTTCCTCCACTAGAAATCCACTTTAAAGGATTTGTTCTTTGTGTTCAGCGGTGTTCCTCATCCCGTACACGATAATGCTGTTCCTCGCTGGACTGCCCATGTTCTTCATGGAGCTGGCGTTGGGCCAGTACGTGGGGTTGGGCCCCAATATGCTCTTCCAGAACATGGCGCCGCTCTTTTCAGGTCTAGTACTCACTAGAAATTTTATATTGTATCATAAGCGCTGATGCTAAACTGTGTTAAGTAGTTATGATTTTGTATAGATGTGTGCTTAGCATTGTTTATTAAGCGTGTGTGTGTACGTTTATTTGTTTTCATTAATTTTACAAAAATAACTTCCACAAATTTATAGCGGGTAAAAATTTTACTGCTACATACACTTGCACGTATAGAAATACATACTGAAAACGTGTCCGACGATCTTTAGTTTTCGCTCGGTCACAACCCTCACTCAGCATTCTGAGAAATGGGACTTTGTCAATATAGCGTTACACTTTTGTATTCTTGTGGGTCATTCTGACTCAGCTTGGCCCGTCAAAAAAACGTATCAGTGCCACGTCCGCTTTCTATTAGTGCTTCATTTTTCTTTGTGAGGGTCCATACCTTTGAGCTGTAAGATAATACCGATTGGTTTGTATGCTGTAGGTCTGGGTATTGGGATGCCCATCGTTTCTTTCTACTGCTGCGTCTACTTCGGGGTGATCATGGCCTGGTCTATCTACTACACCTTCAGCTCATTCACGGCCGAACTGCCCTGGGGCTCCTGTGATAACGACTTCAATACGCCAGGTAGGGTACCAGTGATAGCGCTCTCAAGATGAGGCATTGTGCAAATGGGGCATGAGTTATTGTGCGAATAACTTCCTATTATTTGTGGGACCGATATCCACGCACGTTGAGTGGGTGAGTTACTTAGGTTACGAACGGGAGAAAGTGGTCTGAATAGGGCAAGTGTGAGCGTGATCCGGTTGGGTGGCAAAAAAATCAGCCGCCATCACTGGGTGTCCCACTAAGGCTGTGAAGAAGGAAGACGACGGCAAGAGGTGTTTCATGGATTGGAGTGTCTCTTCATGATTTGAGTCACGTTTGGATTAGAACGCGAATCACAGCATGGAAAACGCATTGCCCTTAAAGGTAAGATTCCCGGGAACCACTGTTGGTCGTTCATTGCAAATCCAGTACTGGGCGAAAAGGACGGGGGAGAAGGGCTTCCTCGCAAGAAATCGGTGGGAGCAGGACTGGCAGACCGCTGTTATTCTCAGAAGCTTCTGCGTTGTGGCTAGATACTTCCCATCAAACCAACCGCTCGGCTCCTCGTAAGAATCGAACGATGGAAGCCATCTCCAGCAGAGGGGTTGCAAACTGGCTAAAACGGGACTGAAGAGAAGCCTTGATAAGCCTCTGCTGAGGAGGAATCACAATTTGAAGAAGCGACTGCAAAGTACTGCGGTCTAAAGCGGCAAAAGAAATAGGCATGCAGGGAATTTAAGGACACCAGTCTTAATGTGGATGCGGCAGCCAAGAGAACGCCTCATTCAAGCCAAAAGAGGCAGCTTAGAGAACGCCTTACGATAGAAATTCTGGATAGTTTGCAAGCTGGTCGCAATCATTTTACAGGTGACGGTGCTGATCGTCTTAGGAGAACTACCATTTATGGTTTTCAGGGATTTCAGGAAACGCAAGGATGGCAAGTGCTTCACGCGACCCCTGCAGGATTTGAAATATAATACCAAGAGGGCGATACCGTTGCCGATCGAGACGAGAGGGTAAATCCACAATTGGTGGATATTAGCATTTTGATTCGCCAAGAGTCTGCAGTTACGATATTATTAGCGGGTCAATCGGAGACCCCTACACGGAGCTTTGCGAAGTTACCCTTCGCTGTATTGAATCGGGAGTTTTGAACAAAACGTACTGAGAAGGACGAAATATGGCGTTTAGTTTAACCCTATCATCTGCATGGCCTCAGAATTTGTACCTCTTTGCCACAGAATCATTTCCTCCCACTAATCATCATGCGCCCCCCAGAATGCGCGACGGTGGAAGACGTTCGCATGTGCGAGGAGAACAGCACGTATTACTACGACCACTCCTGCCTCTCCCTTGAAAAAATTTGCGGCCTGGAGGGCTACGACACGTACAACGACACCTTATGTTACGACGCTAACACTACGACTACCTTAACCCCCGGGGAAGCTGTTCATAGGATGTCGTCATCCGAGGACTTTTACAAGTGAGATTTAAGTATTAAATGAATCAATTATGCAGTTTTAGTAATTATGGAATGCGACAAATATTTTATTGAAATTCGTGGCCACCTCGAAATTAAATTTTGGTCAAATGAGATCATTTATGTTATTTATTTCAATTATTTTCTTGCGCTGATTATTTATTGGCGATGCTGCTAATTTCGGCAATAATTGTTCTGACCACCCAATGAAACAAATCAATAAACATAAGAATCGATCGAGCATTGAGTAATTAATATTTTGTAATTTCGAACCTTTTGCATTGAAAATTGTACTGCGTTGACAAGCAACAAATCGGAATTTATTCATTAAAAGAACGATAGAAAATAACACATTTCTACAAGGTAATTTTGTCATGATGATCATCGCAGCAATAGACCAATAAATAACGGCTACCTAATAAAATTCTTCGACTTTCAACCAAAAAATGAAATTTGAATTGACTTTAATATTCGAATTTAGACTTTGGAAGCCACATCGCGTGTAACAGAATTATTGAAGAGTTCAAAATACCTATATTATTAATTTTAATTCTATGTACATTTAAAGCATTAAAATATAAAAATTTGCATCTCAACAATGATGGTTAAATAGTGACTGTCTTTTTCCAAAACCATCCTGCAAAACAACGTAACTTTTGAATGGCAGGAACGGAAAGCTGGGGGCTTTAGACCGTAATATGACCCCTTCCTTCCAGGAACGGGGTGCTGGGGGCTTTAGACCGTAATATGACCCCTTCCTTCCAGGAACGGGGTGCTGGGGGCTTTAGANTAGTAAATAGCATTACCGTGCGTCGTGCTCACCGTCATACTCGGGTTCGGTGAGTAGTAAATAGCATTACCGTGCGTCGTGCTCACCGTCATACTCGGGTTCGGTGAGTAGTAAATAGCATTACCGTGCGTCGTGCTCACCGTCATACTCGGGTTCGGTGAGTAGTAAATAGCATTACCGTGCGTCGTGCTCACCGTCATACTCGGGTTCGGTGAGCGTAGTAAATAGCATTACCGTGCGTCGTGCTCACTGTCATACTCGGGTTCGGTGAGCGTAGTAAATAGCATTACCGAGTGTCGTGCTTACCGGTATACAGGTATTTATTTTTTACTCATATTTGCAATACTATCCTAATACTAGAAATGCTCCTACACTTCACTTATATTGATAAGTGGAGTATCTAAAAGTACCTAATACTTTTAAGTTACTAATATCAACATGTCTACACTACAATTCTTACTTCCACACTATATAAGTATTCGCATCTCTACTTTCACACCACTAGTATTCTTACTGTCAGACGATCTCTTGATGACGTACATTACTAATGTTCAATAATGAATCAAGAAGGAGTATCTTACTTCCTGTCTAGAGACCGCGCATTAGTAATAGTAAGCCGCTGCCTAGACTTACTTTCCTAGATAGAGCTTCTACTACTCGTACTACCCCAACACTATTTGCTCTAGCGCTGTTCCCGTCGCAAACCTTGTACAGTCTTAACTATGCTTGATAAAAAGGTGAAACTTTTGGCCTGAGTGTCCTGATATTGTCACGCGTACACTACTCGTATTCCTACTTCTACAATACAATTATTCCTACTCCTACACAAGTACTTTCCCCCTACCGCCCTTCAGGCCTGACGCTGGACGGCGCCACGGAGGGCATCCAGTTCTACTTCCTTCAGCCTAACGTTACGAAGCTCCTCGAGATTGAGGTCTGGACCGACGCTTCTACTCAGATATTCTACTCCCTCGGCGTAGCTTTCGGCTCCCTCATCACACTCTCATCATACAACAAGTTCAACACCAACTGCATGAGGTAATGACATAGCACTGGTGTGCCAAGGCCCATAATCATATCATTTCCTGATACTTGCCGGTGATAGTGGATAACATATATTAATAAAGCTTTGGTAATACTCTGAACCATTATTCTCTGTCAGTTTGACAAGTGTCGTTTGCAAGGTAATGGAATCCATTGTAAGGGATCGATTGATCGATCATTTGACTGTTAATAATCTCCTATCAGACTGTCAACGTGGCTTTTTATTGCCTGTAGATCCTGCACCACTAACCTCTTGTCTATATTGAACGATTTGACTTGCCTGCTGGACGAAAGGAAGCCAGTAGATGCAGTGTACCTCTATTTTGCCAAGGCATTTGACAGTGTCCCACAGGAGCGGCTGTTGTGTAAAATGAAGTCTCTGGGAATTGAGAGTAACGTACTCAAATGGATGAGAGATTTCTAGTAGGGAGACGACAACGTGTCAGTATTAATGGGACCGTATCAGACTGGGCTTCAGAGGGCAGCGGCGTGTCACAAGGAAGCGCTCTCGGGCCTGTTTTATTCGTTGCGTTTATAAACGATTTACCAGAAGCTGTGTTTAGCGTGTGCTCGATGTATGCTGACGACACAAAAGTTTTCTAATATAGTGAAGAATATGCCTCAAAAAGTACAGTTGCAAGGTGATCTTGACAATTTGGTCAACTGGGCTGATACGTGGCAGCTGCGTTTTAATGCTGACACTGACAAGTGTAAAGTACGCGTAATCCACCTTGGCAAGAACAATGAACAGCAAGATTATAGTATGAGGAGACATGGTTGCAATGAGAGAGTGATGATGTCGAAGTCGATAATGGGAAAAAATTTAGGAGTTTATGTCGAGAATGAGGTGTAATTTTCTAAGCATAATGAAGCTCAAGCCATTAAACGACTTGGACTGATTAGACGCTCCTACGAGTACATAGATGCTGAAACAATGAAGCAATTGTTTGTCGCTGCCGTGCGTCCGAAGTTTGGAAACGCCATGTGGTCACCAAAACTATAAAAGGACAAAAATTTAGTCGAGAATGTTCAAAGACGTGCAACAAGGATAATTCCTGGATCAAAAGTCAAGCCTTATGAAGAAAAAATAAAGATTATGATGCTTCCAAGCCTTTGTATTCGACGTCTGCATGGTGACTTCATTCAAGTATACAAGTATACCAACGGTTTATATGAGGTCTCAAAAGGATTACTAGAATTTGAAACAAGAACCAACACCAGAGGCCATGGCAATAAACTAAAAAAACCGCGTTGTAACGCATCCTTGCCAAAACATTTCTTCTCGCTTCGAGTCACCGACATGTGGAACAGCCTCCCTGATAGCATCGTTGACGCTCCGAGCATGAACGCCTGCAAGAACAGACTAGACAAAGCAATGCAGGAAAATATTTTCTGTCTTGAAATGCCTAGCACCTTGCCGACCTGGCAATAAGTCCAGCCCCAGCAGGCATTCGGCGGTTGAATCAACTACGCATTACGACGATGAGATCAGGGTGAAAGGAGGTTTAGAATGAAAATTGAAGCAACATCTTTCATGAAACGTCGTACTGACGTTACATTGCAAGGTTTAATCAATGTTACTACTACGACGTTGCTGCAATGTTGAATAAGGTTGTTGAATGTTGAATAAGGTTAAGGACGTTGTAAATAAGGTTGTTTAACGACCCTTCTAGTTTTGGTCAGATTTCGACGTTGATATGACGTTTAATTTTGGTTGTTCAACATTTCAACCCGAAATCAACCAATAATCAACGTTGTTTCAACGTCAGATGCCTGCTGGGGTAGCTATCTCAATCAATAGTCAGTTATGGAAAGATCGGGTTCCAAAGGCCGGGTCCTTGTGAATCAAGTCACGAAAAGTACAAGAATCGGCAGCAGACCACGGGCCTATTTATTCAGTGCCGACACTTCTATACTATACTCTATTATTGCGTTTACAATCATTATTGATATACGTATGTGGTAAACCTATATACAAAATGTACTAGTCAATTTATTTCTACTCAACTACTATAAACTTAACACAGTTTTTTGTTAAACTACCAATTAATATTGACTCGATAATTTTTTTAGAAATGAAAAAATGGCTATTAATTACTAACACTAATGTTATTATACTATTACTGGTTGCACCATTTAATCTATAACATTAACCATTAAAATGCACTAATGACAGGATATTATAGATAATGTGATATTATCGATAGCGATACATCATTATTAACGAAACATTGTTAATAACAAGAATTCATTCATAACTAAACATCACCGATAATAAAACATCATAAATAACAAGACTTTATTTTTAATAAGAAATCATGATAACCTGTCATAACAAATACCGATGAGAGACCACAAGCCATGCAGAGAACAAGCTTGTTGCAAGATAACAACAATATAACAACTCACAGGGACTTGCCACGCTTGATAACAATACAAGTCCCGCCAGATAACAACAAGATAACAACATACAGGGACTTGCCACGCTTGATAACAATACAAGTGCCGCCAGATAACAAGATAACAACATACAGGGACTTGCCACGCTTGATAACAATACAAGTCCCGCCAGATAACAAGATAACAACATACAGGGACTTGCCACTCTTAATAACAATACAAGTCCCGCCAGATAACAACAAGATAACAACATACAGAGAATTGCCACGCTTAATAACAATTCAAGTGCCGCCAGATAACAAGATAACAACCCACAGAGAATTGCCGCGCTTGATAAAAATACAAGTCCCTCCAGATAACAACCCACAGAGAATTACCACGCTTGATAACAATACAAGTGCCGCCAGATAACAAGATAACAACCCTCCCCCCAGAGACGCGCTGGTGGTTGCCACGTGCAACTGTCTCACGTCGGTCTACGCGGGCTTCGCGCTGTTCAGCGTGCTGGGCGCTCTGGCCCACGAGCTGGACGTCCCCGTGTCGGAGGTCGTCACGTCTGGGTCTGGACTGGCCTTCATCGCAGCCTCAGCTTGATCTGGGCCTCAGCTTGACCTGGGCCTCAGCTTGACCTGGATCGCAGCTGGACCTGGGCCTCAGCTGGAACTGGACCCTGACTTAAACGTGTTTTTATAGTACGGCCCTTGGTCTTAATTTGAACTAGGAAATGATTTTTCGCCAGGTTCAAATGGACCCAAAAATTTCCATTTTCACGATGTTCAAAATTCATTGACTCGAAGGTTCTACCATCTCATAGATAGTTTCCTGAAAGGTTTTAATTTGTTCATTTGATCAACACGTTAATAATTTATTCATGTGATGAATATGTTAACGTCACAGATTTCCCAAACAGGCTGTGCTGAACATGCCTCCGCCGCAGCTGTGGTCGATCCTGTTCTTCGTCATGTTCATCACGATAGGCCTGTCGTCGCAGGCACGTTTACATGTTGCGTGCCTCATGTTCCGTGCCTCATGTTCCAAACCTCATGTTCCGTACCTCATGTTCCGTGCCTTCATGTTCTGTGCCTTCATGTTCCGTGCCTTCATGTTCTGTGCCTCATGTTCCGTGCCTCATGTTCCGTGCCTCATGTTCTGTGACTCATGTTCCGTGCCTCATATTCCATGTATCATGTTCCGTGCCTCATGTTCTCGTATACCGTTTATGTTCATTTAGAGCTCCTCTTATCAATTTGAACGCATTCTATAACGGTGCTAGTAATTTTCTTCGATTTCGACTAAAATTTCCCTACTGTTTTCTAAATCATACTCTATTCCCTGTTTTTAGCGTTGAACTCTATTTTTCAATTTCAACAATGAATTAATTGCAAAACTAAAAATAAATGAAAACTATTCACGCAGTTTGCGATGGTGGAGACTGGTTATTTCATTGCTGGTTATATTGTTTCAATGCAGACTCCCATTTTGCAGTTGCTTCGAATGCCAAACTCTAAGCTCCTGAATTTTTAACGTTAAACTTCGTTTCTAAATATTTTTGAAAGTAAAAATTAATTTCAAAATTATGAAGAAAGGATAACTGCGTGCAGTTTGCGATGGTGGAGACCGTAAACACGGCGCTGTACGACCAGTGGCCGGCCCTGCGACGCCACAAGCTGGCCGTGTCGCTGGCAGTGTGCTCGCTCATGTTCGCCCTAGGGTCGCCCATGTGCCTCCAGGGCGGAGTGTACATCTTCGAGCTCTTTAACCTATACTCCACAGGCGTGTCCGTGCTCGTCCTCGCCTTTGTCGAGGTCATACTTGTGCACTACATCTACGGTGAGATACGTAGCGCTGGTATACGTGGCTATGGAGGGGGGAAACGTGACACTTGAGAGAAATATGTGACGTCTTAGGTATGTCGTAAGTTACAATTGAGGCCGGATACGTGGCACTGGCGATCTGGCATGTGTTGCTGGGAGGGGAGAATACTTGCCCAATTAAGTAATACGTGCAACTATTGGTTGTTCGCTGATACCGGACACAGTACATAGAAAAGTAGGATACGTGGCATTGATGTTGAGGTACATAGAACTACGTCCAGACACATGGTTATCACCTACAATGACATTAAACATTACGCCATCGTTCAAGGTTGACCGTAACTGTTCTCGAGATGGTTGATTACCAAGAAACTTAGTGTGAACACAATGTGGAATTATGACGCTCAATGGTCAATTAAAATGCGAGTCAGAGTCAGTAGATAGTTTACGCCCATAAAATGGTTGCTGTAAATGATGGTATACCGCTGTGAATTTATGCATCTTTATTTTATTTCATCATTTTTATTTAGTCATAGCCTTTTCCATTTAATTCAGCAGTAATGTCTTACACACGTATAACGAGGGTTGCTAGATAGCTTTAAAAACTGTCAAGTCAGCAGAGAAAAGGCCAAGAAAGGCCTTTAACTCAATATATACTAGTATGTTTGTAAGTTCCGGTGTAAAAATTCAATTTCCATTTAGAAAACACAGCAGTTAGTGGTTGAAATAAACGGTTGACACATTATTTAATGTTAGCAATAAATGGTTGACACAGCAGTTAATGGTTGCAATAAATGGTTGACACAGCAGTTAATGGTTGCAATACTTGGTTGAGACAGCAGTTAATGGTTGCAATAAATGGTTGACACAGCAGTTAATGGTTGCAATAAATGGTTGACACAGAAGAAAAGGCCAAGAAAGGCTTTTAACTCAATATACATATACTAGTATGTTTGTAAGTTGCGGTGTTAAAGTTCCATTTCCATTTAGAAAACACAGCAGTTAGTGGTTGAAATAAACGGTTGACACAGCAGGTAATTGTTGCTTTAAATGGTTGACAAAGCAGTTAATGGTTGCAATAAATGGTTGACAAAGCAGTTAATGGTTGCAATAAATGGTTGACAAAGCAGTTAATGGTTGCAATAAATGGTTGACAAAGCGGTTATTGGTTTGCAATAAATGGTTGACACAGCAGTTAATGGTTGCAATAACCAGTTGACACAGCAGTTAATGGTTGCAATAAATGTTTGCCAGGGCAGTTAATGGTTGCCATAAACAGTTGACACAGAAGTTAATGGTAGTAATAAATGGTTTAAACAGCAGTTAATGGTTGAAATAAATGTTTTCCAGAGCAGTTACTGGTTGCAATAAATGTTTGACACAACAGTTAATGGTTGTAATAAACGGTTGACAGAACAATAAATGGTTGACACAACAGTTAATGGTTGTAATAAACGGTTGACACAGCAATAAATGGTTGACACAACAGTTAATGGTTGCAATAAATGGTTTCTGTAACATTACGCAGGCCACAGGAAAATACTGCAGCACATACAGGATGAGATGGGCATACACATCCCACTGCTGCTCAGGGGTTACTGGCACATCACGTGGCTGCTGCTCACTCCCGCGTCTGTCTTGGTGAGTCACCGAGCGTTACTGACAAGCGCCACGTGGCTGCTGCTCACGCCACGTGGCTGCTGCTCACGCCTCGTGGCTGCTGCTCACGCCACGTGGCTGCTGCTCACGCCACGTGGCTGCTTGCTGCTCACCACAACGGCAGTGCTGGAGGCTGCGCCAAATATTTGTTTGGGTTAAAAATTTGTTTACTAAACTCAATTTCGAAGCCGGTACTGACTTTGGCGCGTACAGCTATTAATACTGCGCTGTATGCGGCATATATTAACAAGTATGGATATTATTGCAGTTATAAGTCAGGACATATATAAAAAGGGATAAACTTAATTAAGGTATGCATAATTTATCAAAAACGGCAAATAATGAAATGAGATAGTAAAAATTATCTCTGCAATTATTACGAAAGTAACAGCATTTAATGATCATTAACAGGTAAATATTTCAAATTTTACAATCGGCTTTTACTTTAATGCAATAACCTGTGGAATGCGCTGTTCTTTAAGAACTACCAATAACCTGTGGAATAGATGCTCTTAACCTTCTACCGTTTGACATGAGTAACCGGAGCAATATCAGTAGTATATTAATATTGCTAATATAATATAATAATATTAGTATAATTAATAATATTAGTTACAGGAGCAATATTATCACAAGTCTACTTCCCAAAAAGGATACGTTCTAGTGAGCGCAAAATGACTTGCACTGATGGTTGCCGCCACGTACGACAACTTTAAAATGTTCTCTGTTGCGTACAAACGTCTTCAGGTTGCTACACTCAATAGTTTACGTATAATTTAAGTTGAAAGTTATGTTCCCGGAGAGTGACATACGGCGGTAGAGGGTTAAGAGCTACCAATAACCTATATTACTAATAATAACCAATTATATTCGCTGCTCTTTTAATGATTAATGATAATAAATAATAATAATAATAGCAATGGTAATAATAATAATAATTTTTGGTAACCCCCTCTCTCCCAAAGCTGATCCTGGCGCTGTCGCTGGTGTTCTGGGTGCCCGCATACTGGGGAGACTACCTGCTACCACAAGTCGCGCAGGTAACGCTTACTGGGGAGACTACCTGCTACCACAAGTCGCGCAGGTAACGCTTACTGGGGAGACTACCTGCTACCACAAGTCGCGCAGGTAACGCTTACTGGGGAGACTACCTGCTACCACCAGTCGCGCAGGTAACGCTTACTGGGGAGACTACCTGCTGCCACCAGTCGCGCAGGTCAGGCGAGAACTGTCATGAGTACGGGGCGTGTTTTTAAAGTCGTTTGCACATCAAAAAACAACATGTACTTTTTCCTTGAAAATAACATATTAACTTCAAAGACAGTAATTTTCTCTATTTTTCTATACAGTTTCTGTTAATTTTGACGCAATTATCGCACCTTGGGACAAGCTTTAGTATGCCATCGTCAAAGAAGCTCACCTCCAGATTAAACAACTTCGTAAAGAATACTTCTTAAGACTGCAGGAAATCTTTCAGCAAAGGACTAAATCGTGCATCACATGTTCTCTTTCACTTTATAGTTCACTTTTTGAATCATATCATCAGTAATGACTGAATATACCCTAATTCGAATGTTTGTGCGGGTATCGTTAAAGGAACTATCTCATTTCCGTACCATTCCATCAATCATATTTTCACCATACATTTCACTGATTTGACGATAAATGTGAACTGATATGAACCGATTATGAACTGATATGAACCGATTATGAACGATATGAACGATGATATGCCTTTAGCACAGAAAAACCGATTTACAGCGCACACTTCGCAGTCGGTGAGATTCTCAATAGTTCCACGCATTAAAAAATCGTGTAAATAGATGTAGATTAGATCGGATGGTTCCGTAATAGCGTCTGTGGCTTCCCAATAAATATAGCTACATGGCGCACATGAGCTTAACCGCGTCCGCAGGGCTGCGGCGGCGTAATTTAAAAACAAGTTTTACTCTACTCTATATTAATTTTAAAACAATTTTTACTCTAAAAACATGCCTCGTACTTATATCATTAGTCTGCTTAAATTGCAAGTCCACCATGATTTCCAAAGCAGAGAAAACACCGACTACATTCACCGTCCAATTGTAATTGTTAGTCGATAGGTTCAGAAGTTCCATCGTCTACCAAAGTTTTAATTTCTATGTTTTAATTTTTAAGTTTAATTTAATTTTAATTCTCGTTTAAATTTGGATTTTCTCTGATGAATAAACTAGTATTCTCTAATTGCTTTCCCTGCTGATGGAGCTCGAAACGTTTTCGATGAAGCTATGAAGCTAAGGTAATTTAATAATGTATTTCCTTTGCATTCAAATTCTTGGCGAACTGTCATTGTCCAGGCACAATACATTTTAGAAAGTTATTTCAAAGTGAACCATTCCACAATTTGAATCTTCGCAATGTTCAGCTTTATCACAGTTTGACATACAAACACACTTTTTTCCAACATTTTAAACGGCACAAAAACGGTTGTTGATTACCATGACTTATTATTAAGATTTCACCCATAATTATCATACAATATGATAAATTTAACGATAGTTTTCACATCCCTCAGATCCTGGGCTGGCTGATATGCCTGTCCTCGGTGGTCTGGCTGCCCCTCATGGCCCTCGTGGTGGTGTGCAAGCAAGAATACGTGAGTGCCGCAGCTTCCCTCAAATAATTAAACCTTCAATTGTTTTTTTAATTGCTGCTCTTAATATCCGAATTTCAGAGAAACTTGAAAAATTATCGTCGTTAATTTCCAAATATCAGAGCCTCTTTTCAATTACAGCAAGTCATTGGTTAGCTACAACGACGGTTTGGAACGTTCTTATTAACAGTTTCCTCACTTCACAGACAGGAATGGCGTTTTTATCACCAATTTCCTCACATCACAGACGGGTATGACGTTTTTATCTTCAATTTCCTCTTATTGCAGACGGGTATGGCGTTTTTATCACCAATTTCCTCACATCACTAACGGGTATGACGTTTTTATCTCCAATTTCCTCAACATCATAGACGGGTATGGCGTTTTTATCTCCAATTTCCTCAACATCATAGACGGGTATGACGTTTTTATCTCCAATTTCCTCAACATCATANGAAAGAAGACGACGAGAAAAAATATTTCAGTTCGAGCGGTTCAGCTACACGAACCCGATGACCTTCCACCATCAAACGGTGAGTGGTGGGGTGGGGAATGCAGGAAAAGGGTATCACAGGGAGAGGGGATTACAAGGGTATTTATTTACCAATACTATGATTTTACTATGGAATTTTTGTGGAGTTTTCTTTGCTTGTAAGTTTTTCAGTGAATTTGCGATTCAAGCAAACGAGTGATGTTATTAATTATATTAATAATTATCATAAAATGAGATACAGTAAATAATTAGAAAAAAATTTGATGCAATAATCCCTTGCCTTTTCGCGCTTCACCTACCGCGATTTAATTTCTTCGCGGGTTTTTAGGAAGTATCAACGAGGTGAATAATCCATTAACGAAAACCACTAATTAATGAAATATTAAAGAGAATAATCATTCACGAATCTCTGCTGGTTTGCGGGTTTTTGAGGTTGTCGATTAGTGGATTTAAACACGTCGCAGAACTCGATAGGCAGTAAGAATCTGGGAAGTGTTTGCAAACACTTGAATCACTGAAAAGTTACAAAGCAATTAAAATATAAATATTCAAATATATACTATCAGTCGATCAATTCGCGGATTTTCACCCATCACGGCTGATGAACGTAACACCAGGTGGAGGATCACTGTAATTACTTAAAATAAAATCATAATAAATAAATAAATTTATTCATATATGAAGTATATAAAATAAATATGTATTAATTAAACTTTTTCGCGGCACAGTTGGAGCGCCGCAGGTCACGCGACTCCGACGCGGGAGTCGCCAGCCTGCCAATATCTTCCTTGTGATTTATTGTTAAGTTTTTTCCAGTTATAATTTCTTGATTGCGACTGTAATATTGAAATACTAGATATTCAGGGATGTAAGCTAGTCATAAATTAAATTCCTCCTAAAATAAAAGCCTCTTCAATTGGTTACAATAACCGGTATTACAATTAATAATAAGGAACTGTTTAAATCATGCCTCGCTGTTTAAATCTATGCTTTTATTGCATACCTTAACGGACTCTAATGTTTCAAGTGTTTAAAATTCATTAAAAAAATTCTTAGTTGTGCGAATGGGCCAGAAAATTTACATGGAAATCCATGTTAGATCGAATCACCTTTGTAACGGTCGGGAATAAAATGGTTACTGATACTTTAGTAGGAAATATACTTGGATAATAAAATTGAAATTGGTCTGATTATTTACTTAATCACTTTCTCGAGTACCGAAGTAAACAGGAAGGTTGATCTGAATTAAATTAAATTGATGAGATAATTGAATCTTCGGAGCAAAGTCCGTAGACTTAAGATGCGATTCTATTCCACAGTCCACTAAATGATAAGCTGGCATCACCTGCAGCATCGTCCCGCTGAATGACAGCTGGCATTGCCTAAATCATTGGCCCGCTGAATGATAGCTGGCATTCTTTGCAGCATCGGCCTGCTGAGTGATAGCTGGCATTCACTGAATTAAGGCCCGCTGGATGATAGCTGGCATTGCCTGCAGCACCGGCCTGCTGAATGATAGCTGGCACTGCCTGCAGCATCGGCCTGCTGAATGATAGCTGGCATTCCCTGCAGCATCGGCCTGCTGAATGATAGCTGTCATTCCCTGCAGCATCGTCTCACTGGATGATAGCGGGCATCTCCTGCAGCATCGGCGTGCTGGGTGATAGCATTTTTCCCAGCAGAATCAGCTCACTGAATGATATATATTCGGACCATGTCCTGCATTTTTCATTGCTTCCTCTTGGAGTGTTTGCCCAGGTCTACTCGACTCAGGTTTTAAATCAACATGATCAGCTGCACTCGAGAGAAATAAATGAGTAAAATTGTCCAAATGGTGACAATTCTTCGACGTAGCACTGATACGCTTTTTTGCCGGTCCAAACTGAGTCAGGATAAACTACAGGAGTTAAAAAAGGCATCGTTACACTGAAAGTATTACTGATTTTTCGGGGTGTAGGAGTAAGTTGGAACGCATGATCACCTCAAAAAATGAGTGAACTATAAAGAACAGCCAGAGGCCTGTTGCACGTTTCGTTAATGATTTTTCTACGTGTTCTTTAATTTTGAATGAAACTATAAATAAAATCTGAGAAATTCATAAACAAAATTATTAAATAGTTCTCTGCGTTCGATCACACAATATTCGATGGAACGCGACAGCGGCAAAGGAGGAATTTGGAATGGTAATGAATAAACAGGGGCCGTAATACCAAAAATATCCGAGCGTTCGTAGCTCTATCGGAAGCGCAGCCGTTGGCCACAAATTTATCTCTTAAACTAGCCCTGTAGCCAACGCTTAGCCTAAACCTGCAGAGCTACACTTGGCTTCAGTGCTAGAACACTCGCGAGTGACATCGCAAGACAAATTAGTTCGGCAACAGTTACAACCCATGTCGTGAGTATGCTGCCATTGCTGAAGTCAGTTTAGTATAAATGATTAGTAACTCCGGCACGTCCTACCTCCCCACTTACCCCACCTCTTCACCTTGCTGCAGCCATAGAGGTTAGGTTAGGTCCGGAAAGTTTCCTTTTGGTGGAGAGGTGGGGTAAGTGTTGAGGTTGGCACATGCTGGGGTGTAGCCTCCGTGAATAACAAAGTCTGGAAACAATTTCAAACCACCACCCTTGGAAAAGATTTGATTAAAAGAACTCTATTTTAGATCTGTGAACAAAGTCACGAAAAGTACAAGAATCGGCGACAGGCCTATCCAGGCCTATTCTAAGCCGAAGATACTATACTATACCACTAATACAATACAGCGTGAGCAATGGCTGCGGACATACGGCGCTATGGGTTTAAAAATTCAACTTCGTGTTGCGTTCAACATTGTAGTATGCAAGAGAACGGGAAAAAATATAAAAGTTATGTTGGTATTGGGCGATTTGGACGCTACACTAACATGCAACCCACTCCGTAAACCAATTAACGACTGCTTTGCAAGGCAAAACAGCAAATACTAGACAATAAATCTGCCCCTACGTATACTTACGACTTTACAATATACATGAACTTATACGGTATTTGAAAGTACGGTTCCAGGAATGCAATATACATGCAAGCCATGTGGGATCTGAAGAGCTCAAAGTGAGCTATTCCTTTATTACTATTACTACTTTATGAACTATTCCCTTATTTTAGCCTTGAGCAAGTTTCTTTCATTCGTTTCTTGAATGCTTTTATCTCGAGGGCTCCAAGTGACCAAGTTAGGTCTGTCTTGAAAATATGGACCCGAAATTTATGAATTCCACCCTGGACTGTGCGTCAATGTGGCGCACACGACGCATCTTTCTGACTACGGTGAACCCTCTATGTCGCCGTTGAATAAACCCTGCACTTCATGTATTGATTTCATCATTATATTAGGAACATTGACATTTAAAGGTCTTTATGGCAGCTTAATTTTCAAAGATCTCACGAAAATGGTCATATATTTATAGCCTTGTCGAAGCCAATCGAATTCCAAAATTACCATTCATCAATAAATAAGTCGGCACAGATCCATTGAAACAATCGACAATATATTGTAGGCAGGCTTGTAGCGGCCTTCATTCGCAGCTGAAAACAAAAAATTTTGGGCATGACTTACCTATTTATGGTAGCTTTATATAGATTTAAAAAATTTGGACCTCTCGTACAGCGTGCAAGGAATCGTCGCGAACACATAACATTCAAACAAGCACATCCTAACTTCTCGACGGCCGAGAAGCTACTGGCAACCCGCATGTTCCAGCAGCAGACTTACTTACTTGGTTAAGATGAGGCGCGTCACCGACTGAAGTATTGGCGCCCCCCAGCAGCAGAGGCAGTTGGAAGTCATCGGCTCCAACTGGAAACCTTCTTCATCAGATATTTATGGTTAAAATAATTATTTTGAACTGTATGAATTTTAAACATAACTTATTTTAAAAGTTATGGTGAGAAACCCGAGTTTTGTTTGGCTGCATTTTGTGAAGCTGACTTCAGTTGGCCATATTGGCCTGTCGTCGATTCTAAACCAGCCGGCCACCTTGCCGGTTTCGACCAGAATTCTCACAACTTGATGTGGGTTTCAAATCCAAAACTCACTCCAAAATTGATAAATTTAAAATCTGTTTCACTTATTTCACTTACGACTGACGAGAAAAAGCAAAACTAACTAATGAATGCATAATTTCACCTGGAAAATATTCTAAGTGAAAAATTATCCAAATATCGATGTACTTTTTGCCCATGTAAGCCCACTTTGGTGCTGTAAGCGGGCGTTTCAGAACTACGACTGCTCTCTGCTCGTGGCGCGAGTAAGAAAGTGTATCAATACTTGGACAATACGACTCAATCATTTTTCTATGGAGCTCAGCTGTATAGTGCAACTCATTGTACACCAGAACAATATTCTAAATACAAATTAGGTTTCGTGTGTTTGCAGAATGATGGAGCATTTAATGTCAGCATGATGAATAACCAACCGTGTTCTCCGTACAATAAAACCAAATTGCATTTTAGTTCAGCCTTAGGCTGAACTTTAACTTACGTTAAAGTTCAGTCAATGTCGATCAAACAATATGTCGATTGATGGCCGTTAATGGTTGGTGTTTAACGCGAAATTTCGCTAAAAGCAAAACATGAATTAAAAATGTATTAAAAAGCAGGCATTTTTCACATATTTGTATACAGTCGAAATGAAAGGATCTATAACACCCGTAGCCTCTTTTTCTTTGCACTACAATCACCATTGTAGTCTCGCACTATCCAAGCACACTATAGATATTGAAAGGGGGATCATATTTATGTGAACCTCCTGTCACATCACTTCGATCGCGGTCTTCTTTTGTTAGTAAAATCGTTAGTAATTTGGATTGAATTGATCAATTAATTTATCACAGTCTAATTCCGCGCTACTAGGGAGCACGCCACTAGCACAATTCCGTACTAGGAACCATGTAAAGTAATTTATATTTCAAGTTAAAAAATTCTTGAAGGGGGAAATTCGCATTCTGTCCTAAGCGAGATTATGCCGTTCTAACGATTCTTGTTATTTTAAATGCAATTCAGTATAAAAATTAATATCGATATGCCGGCTCTAATGATTTATCTGCTATTTCATACAATTCAGTATAAAAATCGAAATTACAAATGGAAATATATACTATACTCAAACTTCAACCTTTTATTCACAACTTTTATTAGTCAAACTTCGTCAAGTTCAACTGCAAAACTTTCGCCTGGATACAATAATGATCACACAAAAATCACAGCACAAGTTAACCCCAATACGACCTCAAATTAATATTACAAACCGGAAATACAAATATTAATAATTATATTATTATTCTTATTGATATTACGAAACTAGAAGGCACTGACACAATAGGATGGATTAGTGGCTTAATGCAGTCGCTGCGGGCGTTCTAGGATTACCGATATTGCTGGGAGTGTTTTAGGATTAACGATATTGCTACGAGCGTTCTGTGATTAATGATATTGCTGGGAGTTTTCTAGGATTAACGATATCGCTGGGAATGTTCTAGGATTAACGATATTGCTGGGAGTGTATTAGGATTAACGATATTGCTGGGAGTGTTCTGTGATTAATGATATTGCTGGGAGTTTTCTAGGATTAACGATATCGCTGGGAATGTTCTAGGATTAACGATATTGCTGGGAGTGTTTTAGGATTAACGATATTGCTGGGAGTGTTCTAAGATTAACGATATTGCTGGGAGTGTTCTAGGATTAACGATATTGCTGGGAATGTCCTAGGATTAACGATATTGCTGGGAGTGTTTTAGGATTAACGATATCGCTGGGAATGTCCTAGGATTAACGATATTGCTGGGAGTGTTCTAGGATTAACGATATTGCTGGGAGTGTTTTAGGATTAACGATATTGCTGGGAGTGTTCTAGGATTAACGCTATCACTAGGAATGTTCTAGGATTAACGCTGTAGCTGGGAATGTTCTAGGATTAACGCTATCACTGGGAATGTTCTAGGATTAACGCTGTAGCTGGGAGTGTTCTAGGATTAAAGCTATTGCTGGGAATGTTCTAGGATTAACGATAACTCTGGGAATGTTCTAGGATTAACGATATAGCTGGGGGTGTTTCAGGATTAAAACTATAGCTGGTTATGTTCTGGGATTAATGCTATCGTTGGGAATGTTCTTGGATTAACGCTGTCGCTAGGGGTGTTTTAGGATTAACGCTA